ATATTTAATATATTTTACTTATATTATTAGATACGCCAATCAAGACGTCGCAGAGTTGGACCAGAGCCCACGGGAGTAGATCAGAAGGACATGGTGACAGCAGTGGTTGTTACTCCTTTTGGGAGGTTAAAAAGGAAGTTTAAAAAGGGGGTTTATTTTCAGGTACTACAATGAATACAAAGAAAATTATTTGGTAAAGCAACTTACACTGTACTATAACATAATGCTTTATTGATTGGATTTTTTAAATTATTATTTCAGGAAGTTTATGATTGGATTGCAACTCATGAGCAGTGTTCAATTTTTTTTTCATTGTCAACATTTGACAACAATATTATCCTATTGGATAAGATTCAGAATGAGAGCCAGGGCCTCTTGTATTACAAGGAGTTGGTAAATATGAAAGAAAGTCATTTTAATTTGCTGCAGATTGCAGACAGCGGATTGTGTATTTAGTAACATTCGGTAATATCATGCAATATTTTTGCAATTTTCAGAGTAAAGAAGAAGCAGAAAAAATTTTTAGAAGCGAGGTAAGACAAAGCAAGGAATAGTATTTATTTGAAAACAAAATCTATTTGCAAATGTCAGGAAAATGTATACAAGTTTACAGTGTTGATAGTTTAAATAAAAATCTAAATGGTTTCAGGTTTCTTTTTTTGGAAGCTATGAATACGTAGATGACTTGGACAACACTGTGAACAGTAAGTGACATAAATTATTAGTATTATCCATTAATTGGGATCTTCATCTGCAAACTTCCAATTTGTTGACAATCAAATAAGAATTTGTGAATGAGAAGAGAACAATAAATAAATAATARATACAAGGCAAGTTTTTGAACGTAGACCAATAAAACTTTCCTAACTTTCGGAATTTTGGGATATTTTGATCATTGCCATTTGATTAATAACAAACAAGATAATAAAATGCTAGTTTCCTCTGACAATTGAAACTTGGCATATCCAGTACTGCAACAAGAATGGTTATTAATTAATTACTAAATTAATTGAAGTACTGGTTTCTAAGTACCCCCTCCCATGAATTTGGTATATACATTTGATTTAATTTTTCCCCCTTCTGCTATGTGCAGATGATGTGCCACAACATGAAGAGGTTGGYGTAGTGGGTAAGTGCAACATTTTTATGAATGTACCAGGATTTTGAGTATGTAGGATGGTTCTGGTGGTAGGGGCAAAAGGACTTCTAGAGGTGGTTAATTTGATTTTCTTTTGTTTTTTCCCTTCTGTTATGCACAGATAATGTG